CCTGGGTCTTGTTTCTCAGTTGGTCAGTGGCACCCTTTTTCCTGCTTTTTTTTTGTGGCTGCCCCACTAAAAATGGTCTTCCCCAAAAAGGGTTCCTTGTTTTTTCTCCAGGGTCACTGGTAGATTTCGGAAATGCATAACTATGAAAATGTGTACATGTCGCCGCAGATGTGTGTGTGTGTGTGTGTGGGTGTGTGTGTGTGTGTGTGTGTGTGTGTGTGTGTGTGTGTGTGTGTGTGTGTGTGTGTGTGTGTGTGTGTGTGTGTGTGTGTGTGTGTGTGGGAGTTTCAGTTCTTTGCATACGCAGCTGCAGCTCAGCTTATGTAGCTGTGTGCCTTGTTAGCGGTCAGTAAGGCTCCAAGCAGGTTCAAAGGCTGTGGGCGGTTGAACTTAGCAAATGAGAACAAATACGCAGATAAAGCGCAAAGGAAGGAAGCCCCGCACCGACAATAGGAATGTCTTTGGGAACGTCAAGGTGCCTCAGCGTTTTGGGCTCCGGGTGAGTGATGGAGGCTGTGTGCAAGATGCATTCAAGCGTTTTTTGGCGCACAATTTGACCCTATTGGGTTGGTGGGCGGGGAACCATTTTTGGAACTATTTTCGATCATGTGCACCGCGACATGCGCGCGGAAGCATGTGAAATCTAAAACGTAAGCCGCAGAAACAAGCGCAGGCAAGCGATGAACGCCACGTACCAGAAACGGAACCTTTTGGGGCCTGCGCGAGGGGTGCGGAAGGGGGCAGGGAAGCGTGAGTAATGTCCAACCACAAAGCAGGGCAAATAAACTCATTTGACACGTGTAGGTTTCACTTTGTGTTTTGCACTCATTCATCCGCTAGTGAATCGGGTTCTGCTTGAGCGAGGAGAGAAAGCGCTCGCAGAATGCTCCGAGCTCAGAGAATTGGTGCCGGGCAAGGCCCGTCTTGTTGGATTTTTGTAGGTGTTGGATTTTGTCCACTTTTGGCAGCCAGCCGCAAAAAATGTGATTGTTTGCCATACTGGGAAATAAACACCCTGAAGAGTAGGATCCATACCTAAAAATTGCCCAATGGGGTGTTTCTCAAAATTGGGGACCCCTATCCAGGCGGTACAGGGGACACCCATTTTGAGAAGCCTGGTTCAACTAGTGATTTGAACTGCAGACGTTCTGGCTTGCAACCCAACTCTTGCGCCAGCAGCCCAACAACCCAACAGCCCAAACAGCCCAACAGCCACGCTGACGAACAAATCCACCTCCAGCCTTGTTGAACCAATTCCTTGGTTTGCGAACGGAAAGGTCCACCTTGCCTAACCCCAACTTGGGGCGTTGGATGCGTAACCCGCTGTATCCCGAAGGGCGCAAGACGCAGGTCAGCGTGCGCGCATCACCTTTCGCGTTCAATTGGGGGCCCTGTGATTTCTCCAATTCTGACCTGACTTGGGACATGGGAATCAAATGGTTTCTTTGTTTTCCCGTTCTTTCAAGCCCGAAAAGGGATCCCCTTGTGGCCAGAGTGTCAGGCCAACGGTGGTGGCAACAATTGGACGAAATGGCCTGGCGCAACCCCGTGCCAGCCTCAGCGGAGCAAGCCTGATCAAACGAAGCTTTGTGCGACAAGCAAGTATCCCAAAGACCATAGTAAATCATAGTAAACTTCACAATTGTTGCCATGTGTTTGGATTTTTAGTTTTTTTTTGTTCCGTTCATTCTTAACAGGCTGCACAAAAAAAAACAAGGTCAAGGGTCGGAAAGTAAAGTACGCGTCACTTTGGCACTGTCGGGGTTCGTGCGAGGGCCTCTCAGGGTAGGTTCCATGACCCGTTTCAAGTCAGAGGCTCGAGGCTCCCTGAGACGGCCGCGTCCACGCGCGGGGAGGGCTTGACAGGCCGCCTGAGGACAAGGCGAAGAAAGCGAGGCTTGCGCGGCCCAGGTTAAAGCGCAGGGGCGTTGGGAGGTGAGTTGCGGGCGTCTGCTTTTGAGGGTACCCTTGTTGGTGGTTTTAAAGGGAAGCCAAGCAGACCTTCATTTTGTGAGGACTCCAACCAGGAGCCGAGCCACTTGACACATGGTAGACACGTTATATACATGTTACACACACACAGAGATATATATATATATATATATGCAACTCGTTTGCTGGCCCTACCCTAGGCACATATGATTGCAGCCGTTGCCGAGGAAAACTCTATAAGTTGCGGCTTTGCTGGCGCAAGGACAGCTGTCTTGTTTTGAGCGTACCCTTTTTGGTGTCGTTCTTGATTTTGAAGATCCAGGAAACTAACCACTGGAGCATGGGCCCATCTAAATTCTAGCCTTAAACATCGGTCTCCGGAGGAACCAGCACCTGACCACTCACATCCCTTAGATTCCCAGATGAATGCTGTAGTCAGAATGCAAATAGCACACCTTGCAAATGTCTTTGAGGCCCAGTAGGCTGTAAAGTGGTTGGCCAGCTTCGGCCCTTTCTCCTAGATTTAAATTCAAGATGGACGAGTCTGAGGAACATTTGTCATCTAACCTTGAATCCTGGCATCTGGCAAAGATTAAAAATGATGCACAAGACTTGAAGCGCTCATACATAAATACTTGAAGCGCTCATCCCAATTACCACTATAGTAGGTAACCAACTGTTTCTTTTTTATATATCGCATGGTTCCCTTGGCTTCCTGCTATACGGGGACATGGGCTTGCCGGTCTGCTTTCCTTTGGGTGCCTTGCTTGTAGCCCGAAGCCGGAAGCCACTTCGCCGGAGGGAAGCTGCAGAGCACATGGCCCGCGAGAAGCAGCAGAAGGTGAGACGCCTAGCTTGGCTGGGCACCGAATCTGGTTTCCCCAGACTAGGTCCCCCAGCTAGGTGCCCTTTTACCGTTGGTTTGTTGGGGGAGGGTTCCCCTAAATAGACAACAGAGAAGGGGTACCCTTATTCTAGCCTCTCTACTGGAGGACCTAGGAGAACTTGACTTCAGGAGACCTCACGATATTGAAGACCCCGTGGTGGGCTCAGGGTGTATCACGTGAGTGCTGTCAGGTGGATTTTTGTCGGTCCCCGGAAGCTTGGCGGATCTAGCTTTTGCATGTTCCCGTTTCATCCAGTTTCCAATTTTGCCGTGCAGCGTGCAGACTTCGGCGCAACAATCTTTGCACCGCTGGAAAGGGTTCTCCTTTTACGGGAACTACGCGGGTCACGCGGAGAACCTCACTTCCTCAGTCATGGACTTCAAGCTTTTTCTTGTGGCAGACGAAAAGCTTCGCATTTTGGTTGGGTCAACGATGTCAGGAAGTGAGTAGCCCCTTCCAAGAGAGCCTGTGGTATCCCTGCAGAAAGCACGCTCAGCACGCGAGAACCCCTGAAGGCGGCTGAGCAGAAGGCCACTTGCCTGATGGACTCGGTGATGAAGCAGATCGTGCGGAGCTCAGGGCGACTGACGGCGCAAGCGTGTGTTGCTGCTGTGATTTGTTGTGGTTCCTTTTGCTTCTATTTTCGGACCAACATACTGATGCAGAAACATAGTAGACAAAATTAAAAGGCCTTCAGCATGACAGTGACGACTAGTTTTCGATTTGTTTGATGGGCTAGCTCTGAGGTTCTGAGGTAAGGCTTGATTGGTGCCTAGATTGCTGGGGACTGGGGATTTGAACACCATCCCGGAATACCTCCATACCACAGGGCTCCAAGCAACCAGTTGGAGGCAATGTGTATTACTGCAAGGGTCATTGGCTTTACGGAGCCGGGCGAGTCCAACGGCAAAACCGGTGGCGTCCTTCCATACCGCACGGCCATCGGTTGAAGCGGCGCTGGCTGTCTTTGCAGCGTCAGTGCCATTTGTGCTGCCGACCACCCTCGTTGTGCTGGAAGGAGTCATTGTATTTCCCTTCAGTTGTATGCCTTGGTTTGCATCCTCCACGTACATGCGAGTTGGTCGGACCTCCAGCTTCAAAATCCTCTAAGGTGAGCTATGCGATTTGCTCGCCAACCACCACAAACTCTGGGGCAAGGGGCGGTCGCCACCCAATCAACCGCCAGGCTAACCCCGTAGCTTATAGCCGGACGCTCTATTCACGCGGCATCGATGGCGGATGGTGAACGGCTGCGTTCTTCCCCGGAGGCGCCGGGCTGGGGCAAACATGACCCAAAGCTGAAGCTCGCTGATGGCTGCTCAGTGTGTGCTTCCAAGTCAATCCAGATTTTTGATGCCAGATAAGGCCGCTGTTTCCTTAAGTGCAAGTGCGTTGGTCAAAACCTGTTTACTTGGGATGGCAATTATGACCGGTGCACCTCAGGGATCCTTAAGGGAACCATGGCCATGGCCACCTTTTGCTTATTCAGACCCAGCAGCTTGTGCGCACCCTGATCGTACTTCACCTCCTGCGAGTTTTCTGAGTCTAGACGAACATCCTGGGAGCATTGCCCCCACCGGCTCTGACTTGCCAGCAGACCTTTGTAAGTCATGCAAGGACTATTGAACACCCTGAAGAGAAGTGGCTGGCACCCCAGTCCCTGTCACCTCCCTTCCCGGCAGCGGATTTGACTCATGATGCCAGTGCATTTGACTGGTCCAAACCCAAGCCTTTGAAAAGTCGGATATCTTATGCATTTGTTCATTTATTTGTTTGTGAATGCATTCATATTGTTTTTTTTGTTTAATTCTGTGCTGATTTACCTATTTACTTATTGGCCAATTTATCGTTGTTCAATTATTATTTGTTTATCCGTTTATTTATGTGCTTACGTATTTGTTGTTTTCGTTTCCGGGTGACTAGAACCAAGACAACAGTTTGAGCTTTAGGCCCTGGAGGTTGAGCCAGGAATAGGGATCCTTATGCTTCGTTTGTTGCATGTCAGGCAAGGTTCGACAAGCAATCGCAGGTTCACGCACTTTTTCTCATGCCTAGGTCCCCCAGGCTTGCCCTTTTGCCAACTTTTGGGGGGGGAGGGTTCCCCTACTTAAATAGACTACAGAAAAATGGGTTCCCGCATTCTATCCCCTCTACTGGAGGACCTAGATGCTGAAGGCATGC